ATTTCTTCTTTTGTTTGTAGATTCACTTTGGGTTTTTTTTTATTAAGATGTGAAGATAAACTTGCTTTGTGGGTGGTCAGATATTTTGTTATATTTTTGAATAATTGACAAAACAGATGTGTTTTGCCACAAAACCTTTATGGCTTAACTTTTGCTACTTTTTTGATCTATAAAATGCTTGTTGTTGGTTAATTTAATTTCTTAAAGTTGAGAAATATTAATTTTCAATTTCAAAGTGAGACAAACTTTTGTTTACCATTTTGAATTTTGGTAGTAATTTTTTTGAATTTTTAAAAGCCGGTAAATTTAATTTCAAAGGAATTTTTAAAAATCTAAATCAAATGAAATGTTTTCAAAACATTTTTCCATGATTGCGTCATTGATTATCATGTTTTTCACAGATTACTCATAATAAATCAGTTATTGCTGTAATAAATTTGGTACCTTGCAGTGTATTATACCGTCTACCGTGAATTTTAAAGCTTTTCAAATCAATAAATTGAACAAATATTGAATTTATTATCAATCAAATTAATCTGAATTACATTGTCGGGGTCAGGATAAGAAAAATAATGCGTTGTAGTTAACCAATTAAATTATATAACATCGACTTATTGAACAGACGATGTTAATATTATTTTTTCATAATAATGTAGGATGTTTATTGCTGTAGAAGATAATATATCGAAAATTAAAGTGTACAGAAGATTCACAATCGTATTTTAAATGAGTGATGTATCTATTCTAGTTTTTCAAAAGATTTACATATTTTTCCTTGTTTTCTTTTCTCATACTTTTTAAAAATAGCAAATCCAGAGTAAAAAAATCAATTTTCATTTATTATTATAGATTTTTCTTTCTTTTGTGGGCTAGGGTTTCTATACTCGTAATGCGTGTGGTGAAATTTACAAGTAATTGCTTTGAAGTTTCAATTCTCGACACGTTTTGTCTTAATACTTCACATCTTCTTGTCACTCTTCCTTCCTTATTTCGTGTTTGATCGTTCATAAATGACGGCTTGTTAAATTTTTGGCTTAATGAGCACCTTATCGCGGTTTTGTTGGTATAAAGTTCAAGCCAAGGGTTTTAGTTGACACTTACTTTGATTTGGGACTTGAAACTTCCAAATTATTCAATTGACGTCATTTATTAACAAATCCGTTTATGAATTTCCGGAATATTTTTTTGATACTTATAATCTCGCTCTTTGAATTATTAAGCGTAAATTTCCAAAAACGGAAATTTGAATGTCAGTCGTGAAACGTTCTGGATTACGGCATCTCCGATTATCTCAGCTCATTAATTTGAGAATATATAAAAATTCTTTTGAGCTTTTTTTCTCAGAACTGTAATACAATTTACATGATAATTTACGTATATGCTTCAATGTCTTGATTCTGGTATGTGCACAATCCATTTATACATTTCTATATTTTTTATAGAATCTAAGCAGCTAAAGATATCCTTAAAAATTACAAGATTATCACCGTAAAAGAACGTGTCGTTAGAAAAAAAAAGTTTGTTAAAAATAACTTTTTTTTATGATTCTTGGGGCTCTTTGTTACATCTTTATGAGCATTAAACAATGCCTAAATTTTCATTCTTAAATTACACTTGTTTTGTTTGTTCTTTGGAATTTAATCAAGAGGTTTCCTATGGGATAGAGAGCGTTTTTATGTAAGGGGAAGATTTGTAAAGAATCACGTATTGTAATTACTTTCTTTGTAGGTTCTGAATTGAAACAAAAGGTTATTCCAAGGAGAGTGCAATTTTGTGGAACATAATAGACTTGGTATAGGTTTAATTTGATAACATTTTGTATTTTTGAACAATGGCTACAGTTAGAATCCAGAATCATAAGAAGATCTGATAAGAAAGAAGAAAATGTAAATTTAAAAGAGGACATTCACAAATGACGTCAATCTATAAAATAATTGTTTACATGCTCTATGCTCACATGAAGTTTTTGTGCAACAATTACTTCCATTAGTTCTTAGAAAAGCCAAATAAAGCTTGAACTATTAATTAATTTCTACAGAATTTTTTAAAATTAAGTACATCAGAATGAAGACCTTAAAATGTCATGAACATTGTACGCAGGAAGCAAGATCAATGAGATGATTTTATTTTTATTCTACTTAATCCACATAATTCTTTGATCTCTGCATTTCGGTCAGCTTAAAGTTGCTGAAATAAACGAAATAAGCATGAAAGCATTAATGCTTCTTCTTAAAGCTTAATCTTTTCTTTCCAAAATTCATTGTTCATTCTACAATGGAAGAGATATTGCTTTTAGCGGATTCATTCATTGAGAAAAATGTCTAGAAAAGGTAGAAAAATTGTTGATGAAAAATTCATATCCTAAAAATAATTCTTATTCAAATTTTTCAATGAGGTTTTGTAGCTTAAATTATTAAAACTTTAATTAATTAAAAATTCAATTAATTAAAAATTTAGGAATTCGTCACTAATTATCTTGAAATAATTATCACTAATTATAGAAGGATTTTAGGATTTAAAATTGACGTCTTTTCGATGTACCTAAACCTAATTTTATTACGAACTTAACATTTATAAGTCAAAGGTTAACAATCCAAGTCAAATCAAAGAACTTCCTTCGTCCAATCATCTCAAAAGATTCATAATTTGCCTTACAAGTACAAGACGATAATTGAATAAATTAAAGACAATCCTCCTACAATAAAATTAGAACTGGAACACAGTGTCTCAATCAAGTACTACTTACATAAAGAATGTCTGAGCCTTTCTTCTTTTGAACTAATCTTCAATAATATTTCTTTGATGATATACATTAAGCAGACATAGCTGTCTCATTATTCAGCTATTTATCAACATAATAAGGAGCTAGTTAGACAAGGGTATCGATTATGTGACAGCAAAGTTTCTAATTTGGGTATTTTGAGGCATTTATTAATTTTTTATAAAAAACTTTCCCAGAATAACCTTTGACAGGTCATGAAATGTTTGAACTTTCTTTTAACGTTTGACTTTTCAGCATGAAAGTATTTTTTTGCTTCGATCTACAACAAATTTCTTTCAAATTCATTAACTTCAAAAAGAATCATCATAATTCAAAACTTTTTATTTTTCATTTGCAAGGTTTAACCACAAATGGGGGAAAATCTGGTTATGAAAGTATTACACGCAATTTGAAAATGTTTCATAGAATTTTGTGAAATTTATGATTTTTTTTTGAAATGAGAGAAATTCCTAAACTGAAAAAGTTGAAGTAATTAGTATTGTGGTTTAATCTCGGAAATGCAGGATAGAATAGAAATATTTTTGGTTTAGTTGGTCAAATGTAAATGTTGTGCTGAACAAAAGATATAAAATGGAATGGATAACGGCACAAATGAATTTTGAATCAAATTTGAAAATATTTGTGATATAATCCAATTAATTATACTTTGAAATTCCTTATTATACAGGAATTTCTTAAAAAAACACTGAGGAATACTTGGATATGGTTTGAGATCAATAAGCATGTTTTTATGTTCAAATACTGAAAGTTTTTCAGTCATTTAATCAGTAGTCATTAGGAAAACTTAAGAAATTATCTTTTTACAATAATTCCTAATGTTTTAAAATTCATCGCCTAGAATTAACAAACAGTTTTGAGGTTCAATAATACTTTTTATTCTGTCGCAATTCGATTGAAGGAACAATTCTAACTAGATCACGAACTTATTAATTTTTAAGATAAATTTTAAATTTACGTAAAAAAATCAATATTTTGTTTATTTCAGAATTAAGCAAATTGTTTTATAACTCAATAAAATTCTTACCTACCTATAATTCTGATTTTGATATTTGTAAGTTTATAAATTTACAGTAAATTGATTAAAAATGTCAAATCAAAATTGTAAAAACAATTTTTCAAATAACATAGGACTAGAAAACATAGTTTGCGTAGATCTTTAAAACCATGGAACTAAAGACACCCCAGAATCAATTTTTCGTCGCTGGTCATCCACTGAATTTAAACAGAGAATAATAAAAAATTTACGAGATAAAGTTTTTGCGACTTCAAATTTATTCTATATTTTTTGAGGTTTTCCTTTAATTCTGCAGATGATTTTTTTATATTACAGAAACCTTAACTTTTTTTTGGCAGAAACTTTATCCTTAGTTTAAATCTATATTGAGTTCATTCAGAAAGCCATCCAATAAATACTTCAAAAACATTTTTTTTGTGAAATTGCATGGAAAATATGTGGAAAATTGCTTGATTTCATCCGATTACCTTTAAGGTAATAAATTTGTTTTAAAGAATTAATTCAACTTGAAAAAGTTTTTTTGATGAGATTCATTTGATTGTCTTCTTATTTTTTGTTCGCAGTATGACTTGTTGGATTTAGATTGTTTGTAAATGATGTTTTTTTTGAAGATTTGAATTTTCTTTTGAATTCAATCTTTCGAATTATTATTTTGCATGAATTAAATTCACTCTGGATAATTTAATGAAATGTTGAAGCTTTGGTTGATATTTTGAGAAGTTTAAGCTATTAAATTGTAAATGTTTTTCGTTTTTGAATTTTAAATGTTTTCAATTTTTTTAATTTTGAAACTTTTCAAATTTTAAATTTTTCCAAATTTAATTTTTCACGTTTGTTAAATTGAATATTTTCAAATCGTTCACAATTTGAATAATCCACATTTTCAACTTCAAACCATAAATATTTAAAAATCAATCTCCAAGTGTGCTCTAAACTCAATAAATCGAGGAATCGCTAAATTATTACTTTTTGAATAGCTGCCCATGTTTTCACTTTTTAAAAAGAAAAATAAAGATTTTCTTAATGAATGATTTTTTTTCTATTTTTGAAAAAAGTGAAAATTATGAAAAAAGATTTTTCAATAATTTTTCAATAACACAAATGGAAACAAATGATGCCAAGAAGGGAGGAGAATGAGACAAAAAAAAAATCCATTAGCATTAGCTATTAATTATTCAGATTTAAACTGATGAATGAACTTACAATTCAATGATCTTTTCTTCACTCTTTAATTAATTTTATATTTTTTTTCTATTCACAAATAAATAAGATTCACAGTTCAGCAGGATGGAAAAGTAAACACTTTTGGAGTTAATACTGGATTAGCATAATTCAGCCTCATATTTCACAACAGTAACAAAAGAATCCGTTAATCACAATTTTTTCCATCATTGTGACTTTTAATTTTCACTTAGATAATTTATTATAAAAACTTTCAGCACTTCCTCTTTTTTTTATATATTTTATTTCATATTCCTTAAAGGCTCAAAATAATTCACTTCACAAAGCACTTTTTACAACCGTTCCGCATTGAATCTGATAACTAAATGCTTATAAATTGAAGCACACAGAAGAAGATAATGCAAGAAATACTGAGTGCGAGAAAAATGAGCACGCAGAAAATTCTCAGAGACATTATGGCACTCTGGGGGAAAAATTGAGAAAAAAATTGAATTTTATTTTTCTTCTTCGTCGCTTGGCTTTTTTTTTTCTTCATATTCTATGCTGTTCAACAGGTGGTAGACGTTTTGGAAATTTGAGCGAGCGAGGAGAGAAATTGTTCCTTAATAATTTATTGGATTCAACATTGAGCACTTAAGAATGCTTGAAGCTTTTGCTGCAATTTTTTTTTTCAATGATTGAATTTTGTATTTTGGAGAGAAGCTTTTGAGTTTTTTTTTTAAAATTAGTGCTTATAATTTTTGTCTGCTAGCGAAACATTGAGAATTTTCAATTTCAATGAACAGACTTGAGTGTTATTCAGATTAATTGAAAGCGTTGATGATGATCATCATGGTAGAGTAGTGGGAAGTAAAGAATATCAAGATGAGCATCGAGTTGGATATTAACTTGGTAGTTTTAGTAAAGTTCTTAGTCTTAATGCATTCTATAAGGTTTACACAGCTCTATGTCACCTGGATTAACGATTATCATATGTTGGTTTCTGTCCTAGCTTACAAGAGGTATTCTTTACCTTTCTAGGTTAAGGTACCTTAGTATACCCGAGGTTAATCAGAAGACCTAAACTAGTTATAGTAACTGATCTTATGTTAAATTGACAGCGCGCCATGCCAAGATTTAATCAGTCTTACCTAGAAAGAAAGACATAGATTATCGGTCTTTCACCTAGCTCCTCGTCCACATCAGCTGCAGCCTCGCAATTGCAGTTTTGACAACAAAAAACTTGATATCATAGTTTTCTTTTTCCTCTGACTTCTCAGATGTATTTCATAAGATTTTCTTAAAGATGTAGAAATTGGATAGTGAGAACTGATCATATAACAGTTTCAAATCACTTTATTATAACTATGCTCTGTGTATGAAGTCAGGCGGGTATCTAGGAGAATGTTTATTAATTTGATAAAGCTTTAAATCAAAGATCTTTAAAAAACTTCCATTCCTCCATTTCCTTGCCTTATTTTGCATCAATTTTTTTACAAATTTTATATCCATCCGTGAAGTTTGATTCTTTTCTTAAGGAAAAAAAAAACTCTTATACTCTTCTGACCTAATCCATTCCAATTGCATAAGGATGAACGATCTTCCAAGAGAACAAAGGATTATCAGACGTCATTTAATCCTTATTACAAAAACAGATATTCAGCAGGAAAAAAAATCTATGACAACAAGAAGGAGAGTTCAGAGGTATGCAGGTGTAGTGTTGTGTCTACAAATAAGCTTCAGCAAATAAAATGCTTAAGTGCTCAATAAAAAGGAACATAAAAGGCACTTTTTGCTCCATCTCGTGAGAATGGCTTCAGATTGAACTTATGAGTCTTGTGAGTTATGATGTTACAACCCTTAGGTTATATTTCCTTTCAGCAACAACAACTACATGGAAATAGACATGCAAATGTGATTTATTGATTTTGGAGATGTTCTTTAAAGCGAATGTTATTGGATGTACATTTTGTCTTTGTTCAAACCAATTATTTGCAGTAAATTGGCTCACAAGGAAGCAATTTAGAACATTCGGATAGAATTTTTACATTCAATTGAACTTTATTTTATTGATCGATAAAGAACAACGTCATTTATATAGCTAGCAAGGACGTTATTCCTTACAATACAATATTTCATCATTTCTTATAGAAAGCAGCTATGTTTTCATAATAATTGAGTTGATATAAAAACGAATTGACGGAGAAAAAAAGCATTGGAAAATTTTTCATACGAAAAATTTCCATTTTTCAAATAGGTGGGAAGACTCTAAGTACACTTTTTACTACAGCTTCCATAATAAATGCCTACAATGTTCAGCTAAATTGACTTCCTTTAATGTAAATAATCAAGAACTTGATCAAAAATTAGAAATATAATAATAATAAGCGAATGTAAACAAGCAATTACGAAAGCAGAATGAATTTAAATTTATTTATGAGATGCAAATATTTTCTAAGGATTCAAAAAGGGAGGAAAACTTGAAACAAAGGATGTGAGATGAGCAATTTAAGAGATATTTAAAATTCATACACTATTAAAATATTTGAATAAAAATTTATAAAGGTTATCGCGTTCTTGGAAGAAAAGTAACTTATAAACAATATCTTGAAGGTTTGTTGTTTCAATAGTTTGAGATTTCAAGATTTTTATCCAAAAATTTATGATTCTTGTAGTTTAATGAGATGTTTTTAGCCAAGAGAATAGATTTCAAACAAAATTATTGCAATTCTATAATTTGCAAGCAAGTTAGGTTTAATTTATTAAAAATTCTTATTTCAATTCTTCCTAAAAGTAGGAGAAGAGGTTTAGGAAAATTCTGAACGTTCCTTAATAAAAGAAGTTTTGTCAAAATTAAGAGTGCACAACTGATCTAAAATGATCAAAAAGAATCAAACCTAGTTTGATCAGTTTACTCCTTACCCCAATCTTGGTAAAAACAAAAACGAATTCAGATTTAAGATTTATAATGCAAAAAAAAAAAATTTCTAGAATCAACCTTCCAAAGATAAACCAAAATCAATGAAACTAAGTCACAGTTTAATATCATTGGCCTTAACTTCTTATTAACAGCCAAAAAAGTGTTACTAATTCAAGATAATCATTTAGATCAACATCCAACCCATCTATTTTGTTGAAGATTTAATAAACTCCTACATTATTATTGAAAGTTCATTCATAACCTATCCATCCTTTTCAATTTTACATCACAATTCACTAAATAACTGTATCAATAGATTGTTTAAAGGTCATTCATTCTTGACGTCTATGATAAAGTTATTAGATTTGAAGTAGGATTATAATTTGCCGAAATGATTAAGATGTTAAGAAGCAAGGATTACATTGGGATTATTATGATAAAAAGGATCCTTCAAATATGTTTTCATAAATTTTCGATTCTAAAGCGAATATATATATATATATATATATATATATTCACTTGTAATGTCAAACTACTTTTGATAAAATTTGATCAGTTGTGTTAAATGTTTTATCAATTAAGGATGTATGGCAAACGTTACAACTCCATTTATTATATATTGACTTTAAAAAGCTCTTTCACATTAAAAATTGAAATTAAGAAGAACTTTATTTGAATGGGACAGACATTAGGCAAATATTGCCAGAAGCGATCAGAAATAGATTGAAAAACTATCTTAATGGACAAGAAGAACTAATGGTTTAGTTCTAAAGTTATACATTAAGAGCAGTTCTTTTATAAGGCTCAAAGTTTCTAATTTGAAAGTCAATTGAAATATCAGGAAAACTTTAAAGAACTTTGTTGCAAAAAGGATTCCCCATAAAAATTCAATATAAAGCTAAAAATAATATCCACATCGCTCTTTTTTTTTCATTTTCAAGCTCACTTCCTGTTTAAGTAAAGTGATATCTCTTGATGCTTTAAACTTGATTCGTTTTTAATGCCTGTAGAGAAATGTTCAGACATTGTTGCTGGATGTTATTTGAGGCATGCAAATGATTTTGTAATACTTTTTAAAGTTGTTGATTTTATTTTATAATGTGTAGTCTGAAGTTTGAACAGTTGTGAGCAGCCATCAATGCAGTCAATTTGCTCATTTTGAACTTAAAAAATGGAAATTTATGGAAAACGTAAAAGGAAATTTTTTTAATAAATTTTTACTCAAATATGCCGCTTTAATTATGAAATAGGTTCATTGAATGCGCACATTCTCCTAATTTCCATAATTCAGTGACTTTATGACTTTCTAAAATGAGGATAAATCATCTCATAATATTAAAAATGGAACATACCACTTGATTTGTTTTTTTTTGGGTATCCAAATGCAAACTTCCTACAATTTTTTTTTATTAATTCGTTTAAGGAAGTCTGAATAAAGCGAGATGACGAAAAAAGACCGTACGCATAGAGAAATGACCTATGACTTTATACATCAGAAATATTCTTTTTCTACATCAAATATAACTTCAGACATTTGAAAGACTTCAATCATTGAATATTGAAAAATGACAAAAAATATCATCAGTTGATCCTTTGCCTAGATTCTAGCTTAGTTTAATTTCTATTGATCCATTCTTTAAAGATAATCTCCCAACAATGTCAATTTAGCCAATTCTGATTCTTAAAGCTTCCAATTCGTAGAATTATGTAATAAACAAGCCAGTCTGGAAGATGAAACCTTATTGACATTCAATGCTGTTAGAAAAAGACTTCATCTAATTTGAGGGATCAATCATTCACAGCTGAATCCCGCTAGAAAAATAAAATAGAATAATTGAGCAGCACAAAAGTATAAAGACCTTAAAAATAGAAAAGGAATCAAAAAGCATCATCTTCGAAGCGTACAAATTATGTTTTGAAGCGTACATGCTTATAAATTATATAAATATTCAATCAATGTAACATCTAGTGCTGTTCCATAACAGAGCAATTCTCTCTCAATTTGAAGCAATCGAACAAAGGTTACATATTTAATAAAGAAATCCACAAACCCAAAAAAATTCACTTTTTTAACCTTACATGATTTACTTTTTCCGGAGTTATTTATCACCACATCTCCTCCTACTTCCACCTACTCAGAAAATACAATAAACCTTTGATTATGAAATTGCTTTCCAAAAAAAGAAAAAAAAAATCCCTTTTGCTGATAAAATATTCATATACCTTACAGCAACTTTCTTGAAACTGCAGATTATGGATGGAGTTTGAACATGCTGAAAATATAGCGAGAGAATCAACTCATGTAGAATGATTTAACACTGAATTTTATGCATGCCTTGATTAAGGATTTGTGCTATTGAACAATTTTCTTATCGATTCCTGGATTAACATCGTCAATTTTTAATTAAGGAAGAGAAAATTTGTTAAGATAAAATCATTAAGTTTCTCATTTCCATGCTGCTGTTAAAAGCTTTCGTGTTCGAAGTTTTAGAATTCTGTCAAAATTTACGTACGACAAGAATATTTAATCTGAGAATGTCTTAATATTAGATCAATGCGAGAGACGCAGTATGAAAGCTTCTTGGCTTGGAATTATTAATGTTTAAAGGTTTAGGTCTTCGACTAGTCAACAAAAATTAAAATCTATACTTAATAAACCAAGAAATATCAAGTTGGCTCTAGATTTTTGTAAATTAAAGGTCTTAGCTTTAAAAATCATAAAATTGAAAAGTTTTGAGTTAAGTAATCAGGAGGAATGAGTGGATTCTAGGGTTTTAAGCCATATATAGGCGAATCTGCCAGTGCGAGAGCTAGGCATCTGTGTGACGAGTGGTTTGGCAATAGACAAGATATCTGCAACCCTCTTTTGTGAGAACATAAGTTCGATTCCCACCAGAGATCAATCTCTAAATCATTATAGAGTATTGTCGATATGACAACGATTCGCACATTGCCTAATGATATTACAGACGTAGCATAGAGTTCAAACTTCTGTCATGGAAACATCGAAATTTAAAAAAGACATGATGCCAAACATGTGAGTACATAAACTTCCATGCTTTGAATAACGTTTTTTCAAAAAGTAATCAAACACACGAGTTTTACCACACCGAAAAATCATTAAGCTTTATTTAATGAAAAATATAAATCATAGAGCAACATTAAGCACGTGTATTTAATTTCCTGGCCACTCAAGTGCTGTTCTTTCGAAAAAATACAAGATAAAAATGAAATAAAAAACACGAGTAAAATTCGTCATTATTATTTTGTGTGATGTTGAATAGCAGGATGGATAATAAACAGTGTGTGCTGCGTAGTAAGCCTCTCTAATCTCCTTAAAGCACTTCACAAAGCTTTAAAGTACTGCTTTATTAAAAAATGAATTTGGAGGAAATTTTTTTAATATTATTAGTGAGGATATTGAATTACTGAAGGAATGATTCAGCATTGTCTATAGATCCAACTCCCAAACTTGATGCCTTAAAGATGTTATTATGAATGACTAATTAGGAAGTTCTTTCTGCAGCAAGATTCAATTTCACAAATCAAAAATTCTGACTAATTTCGATAAATCAAATTGAATCAATGGAAGCATGTTCCACCTACAAACAGCACATGCTATTGACAAAATAAAATTAAAGAAAAATACATCCGAGATTTTTAATTCAGTAAACAAAAAATAATTCCAACCTTTTCTACGTTGAAACTGTCAAAATAAAGATTTATAAAGTCACAGGGAATATCACCAAAAAGGTCACGAGCTGATTTATCCCAAGCACATCCAGAAAGATCCATTTTTTTCTGAGACAATTATTCATTCGGGAATATTCAGACTTACAGCACTAAATAATATTAAATTCTGAGAAATGGAATTGAAACAAATACGAAGGAGTCTATTTTGAGCATTATCATCAGTTCATAATATCATTAAGGATCATTTTCCTTTGCTTGAATTATAATCATTTACTATCTTACTATTCAGAAGTAATTTAATTGAGAACTAGTCAGTAGATTGCTATTGGTTGTTTATCGAGCCTGGCTCACACCAAAATATCTATTTAGGAATTAAATCATCAATTCTCAGTAAGGCTTGTCAATGCCTCAATTATAAAATCATTTTGTGTCTATCATCAATATTGATATTCACGATTTTTTAAGGTCAAGTCACTCATCTTCCTTTGTATCGAGTATATGCTTCAGATAGACTCAGAATTCTCCTTATAACTTCCAAATCTAATATGCTTGTTACGGAAATTTAACAGAGCATTGCATATCAAACCTATCCATAATTCAACTCACAAGAGCTCAAAAGTCATAAGAATCCTTGAATTATGTTTTTGTCATCAAATAACGTTCAATCATCTAAATATCTTTATTTTCTTCTTCTTCAACAAAATGTGTGATTACATATCAATGTAGACTGTCTATTGATATTCACTTCTTAACCTTTTAAGCAAAAATAAGTATCATTAAAAATTAATATTAGCTTTTACATAAGTTTAAAAGTAAGCAAATGGAATTAAAAAGTATAACAAAAAATAAAAGTTTGGTGGCATGTAAAGTAATTGGTGATTAATATATGTTTTGGCATAGATTAAATCTTTGTAAATTCTGTTCTTCTTATTAACTTCTGTATTATCATATACGGAGGAAATACGAGATGAGGCATCAGGCGGTTGCCGTGCAATAACTTAACGTTTGTAATTAAATTTGAGCTTGAGTAAATATTGGATGTTGACTTGCGCAACGTCGTATACAATATATTCATTATAAAGCAGTTCAGATCGCAAATCATTCTTAACGATTGGTTTTCCACAAGGTATGACTACTCCGTCGTCGCGTGTTTCGAAACCTGTTGGACATGGCATTGTCTTTCCGACACCTGTTATTGATTCGGAAGATAAGAAAGGAAATAAGTTAAATCATGCGTTTAATATTTTAATCCATGGATTAATCTTAAAAATAGATTAATTTTCAAATCCTCGGTTTATTCTTAAATCCAGCAAGTCACTTACCTTTTGTAGAATGCTTTCCGTCGGGCAATTTAGTAACGAAATTAGCGCGATTCAGTTCGTGCATGTCACCAAGAGCGACCTCAGAGAGCAGCATAATACCAACATCTTGCTGAGAACTTGTACAGCAATAATTGGCTGATTTTGAGACCATATCAGCAAAATAGATTCCCTTACCGAACATATAACCAGTGCCTATAAATCAATAATTCAATAAATATACATTCTTTATATAAGAATTCTCATCTGATACTTACATGGAGCTTCTGGCGGTGCAATTTTCAATCCGTGAGACAAAATACCGGCATAATTTGTGAGACGACTTCCGTGCCATAATAACTGACGATTGTGTAACTTTTTGAATGGCTTATAACGACGTCGTTCACCTGAACGATCAACTTTGAATACTTCCAATATTTCGAGCTTGTATTTGTCGTGTGTCTTGGCATGTGTATTTTCAACGTAACGCTTAATTAACTCAAATTCTTTGCCCTTCTTATCCAATGGCTTCATGTCCGTCTTGAGTTTCTTATAATGTGCATCAACTGGATTAACGTCTTCATTCTCCTTATCGTCCTCTTGCAGAATTGAATATGCAATTTCAATTTCAAGCAATGAGTCAATCATCTCACGTTTACTCTGAATTATTTCCAACGTTGATATTATTGGTGCTGCCTTCATTCCAAAATTATGTGGAACGAGTGTAAAGAACTTATTGCTTAAGCCAATAAACTCATTTTCTTTTGCGCCTTTTGCAACAAGCTTGTCGAGTTCATTTAATGTTTCGTATGCTGTCTGGAGCTGCTTCTTTGACAAACGACCTAAAGGCATCTTTTCCAAGTCAAGCTCAAATTCTAACATTGTTTTCTTCATTGTATCAATGTCAAAGATCATCTTGACTAAATCCTGAACTGGTGCTGGTAATTTTGACTTGATTTTCTGCTTTTCAGCCAGTTGCTTAGCCTTTTCTTCATCATCATAATCAACTTCAATTGGCGAATACTTGCCAGGCTGCTTTTGAAAATCTGTACCCCAATAATTGCCAGTTTTATCTTCAAAAAGTCTCTCAAATTCTTCACATGCTTCTTGAGCAGAAAAAAAAGAATCAGTTTTTGTACTTCCAACACTTGTTCCGATGCGTCCCCATGATCTGAATAGCCAATAATTTTTGCCAGCATCTGATTCCAAAACTTGCATTTTATAAAATGAGTTCTTATTCTTTGTTATGTCTGTCAATCCGAGAACTGATGTATATAGTTGATTTGTGATGTTATCACGATAAACATGAGCAACATCATCTAATCCACTTTCAGGATCGAGTGCTGTTCCATTCTTCAACTTTACTGATGCGGTTTTCTTCGTATTACGTGCATACATCGATTCCTATTAAAATTCAAAATAAATACAACAAAAAAGGGGTTGAAAAATATTAAGATTTATTACCTTTTCTTTAGGTCCTTCATCTTCCAATGGTATTCTTGTCAGTGGATCTGAACCCCACTCACAAATCGACATTGATTTAATTTTCTCCATTGACTCATTTCTGGTTCCTTTTTCAACTGCTTTAAGGAACGTTTCGGGTACAACTTGAATATCGTATGATTTTACTTCACGCATTCGACTGTTCATCTTTTCAACCTCTTCTGGGTTACTGTTGAATAAAATTGGAATTGAATTATTGGTTTCTTGTGAATTTGTAGAATTATTTATAGAATAAATTTGGGGAAAATAAATATGATTCAGTGACCGAATAATGAAGGTAGAGTTGAAAAATCAATAAATCAAGTTTAAATCGTTGGATTAAAATTTTAAATCGTGGATTTAATTTTTTGAACCGTTTGTTCTAAAAAATTTTAGATTTTCTATACAATGATGCTGTTCAATTCTTACCTTATAACAACGGCAATTCGTTCCTGCAACTTAGTAACAACTTTTCCACCAAGCTTCGTGATTATCTTCTTCAATTCGTCTTTCGGTTTTTTAGTGTCTCCAAGAATGACAATATGAAAGCCATACAGCGGTTCCTTCTCACGTTTGACTTTATATTCGCGAGTCGTTTCTTCTTCCTTAGCCTTTTTGACGTCAGCAAGAAGATTCTTACGAACTGCACGGTCCTCAACTTTTGCCTTATATTTTGTAAAGAAGGTTGCTGTCTTGCTGTTCTTTAATTCACTTGGGATCACGCATTTAACACGGTTCGGTTTCTCTTGAAAGTTATCGCATGGTGTCCATTCGTCAATTGTTCCGTTACACTTATATCCATGTTTTGCGAATACTAAATCACCCTTCTTACATTTTTGACATTTTTCGAGTGCACCGAATGTCAAGAAGTCAGTTACACGATCCAAAAGTCCATCAACGCCTTCAACCATACCAGAATTGTTGGCAAAAAGAATATTTTGTAGGTCACCTTTGCCTGCAATTGGCTTTATTGTATCGCGAACTTTAAACAGTTGCTTTGTTTGCTTGGCAATCTTTGTTTCCAGTGCATTTTCCTCCTTGAGTTCGTTCTTATCTTTTGGTTCTGATTTCAATTTCTTTGCCTGTGCTTCTGTTATTTCGATGGCTCTGTACAAAAAAATAATTTAATTAAAAGTGAATGTTCGGAGATAAGATAACTTACTTTAGGACATTTTTGACCTCTTTCTGATCAGCTGGAGACAAATCACGGAATCCAGGCAAATCGGAACCGCCAAGATAGAAGTTGTAGTCAGTTTTAATCTTATCAAAACATTCAAGATGATGCCATAAAGGTTGTCCTCCAAACTTTTGACCTACTTCTGTGTCATAATCCATTTTCTTTATGCGAATTTGTTCCTTCATAATAAGACTTCCACATCCAACACAAGTTGCACGACTTGATTTTGAATATTCTACACCGAAATCCTTAACAATGAGACTTTTGGCTGCAGCAGATGATGTTGATGCTTCGTCAGCTGTTCGTTTTTTTCCCTTTCTCTTTGGTTCTGGCAACAAAATCCCACTTAATTCCTCAATCTTTCCTCTAATCGTCTTTTGATCCTCATAGCGAATATTCTCAAAATGTTCAACCTCTTCAATGGATTTTGGGCGATGCTTAGCAAAGAAGCAGTTCATATGGAACCAGTGTGGATCTTTGCCGTCGTGATGATACGACTTGATTAATGAGAAAAATAAACATTGCAAGAATTATGAAATTATCATTTCAAAGACTTGATTCAATTAATTAAACTAACCTGAACCATACGAGCTAATCGCAAATCATCCTTTCCAATACTGCTCTTACATCCACGACAGCTAGCTCTTCCAGATTTAGCATATTCAACTTTAAACGGGAAGTCATCCATTGTTTTGAAGAGAGAGTGACGTTCTAAACAACAACAAATGTGTTAAAAACAATTTCATTAAAATTTATATATTTCATGCTTAAATGTTATACATTTCATGTTATTCAGATAGCTAGAGACTTACATTATGTTTTAAGTAGGTTATTTTAATGATACACTGTTGTTAAAGTAGATAATTTAATGAAATTAACTGTTCCGGCGTCTTTTAACGAAAAATACAACAAAATTATTAAATCGCGCGCTTTTGGGGTGCGAAATGTGAAAATTTAAATTTTTGAATTCATAAAAACCGTTGGTTTAACGGTCGAACCACGTGTTGTGTAACTGATAACAGCTGTTGATAATGATTTGAGAGCAGAATAAAATGATTTAAAATTGGTTTGAGTCGATAATTTTGATGAAAACTGGAAAGTGTGAATGATATGCATCCATATTAGTCACTGAATAGCTCAATTCAGACGAATTGTTGCGGGAAATTTAAATTGAGCCTCACTGCAAATAAAATGACCCCAAAATATGATAAAATTGAAAAATTTTAAAATTAAAGAAATGACATCTCGAAAATAAGCTTTTCAATCATAGAAATCATTGAAATATAAATCATAAATAGGAGAAAATTAATTGACAAATCCACAACAATAGTTTAATTTCAATAAGCCGGTAAATGTTTACAATTCTTTTCTGATCACATCCATCAAATTTCAACTTCCTTGGTAAGCCTTAATATCCATCAATCTAATTCCATTTTACATTAATTAACAGCAATTAATATTTCATAATTCCAAAGACATGATTTAATCAACCAAAAACACAACTTTGAGAAACTTTAAAAATCCGTTAAAATCAAAAAGTTTCTTAATCCAGCACTTTTCAGCACGTCTCACACCATTGAATATTTTTCATAATAGTCTGAAAGATGTCATCTAACTGGACCGACGTAATAAGTTGTATCAAAGATAAAAGTGAACCTACGCTCTTATATAGAACAGAAACGTTTAACGTAATTAAGATTATAGTAAAAAGGTAAGGAATATTGAGTTTGTGACTAATGTAATGAGGGTGGGGTAGTATACTTGAAATGAAAATTGGCCATTTTTAAATGACATTGCAAAGTTTTAAAAAATGAAATTTCTCATCAAATCTTGAAATTTTGAATTTTTTAAACTGATATTCCTAAAATATACCTGAAATTGAACATCAAGAAATACTTTTTATCCAGAAAGTTCCAATTTTAAAGCTTAGATTTCATAATAATATTTAATCTATTTTCTTCTTTTCCTTTCTAATTTCCCCAAAATCAATAACTACAGAGAACATGAAATCCTTAATCATAATGAGGAATACAATACATTCTTCGATCATCTCATTGCCCTACTCGCAGAAAGTATCGCTACAATTCCAATTGCAGGTAAAACAAAAAAAAAAAGAATTTATAATGAAAATTTAAGAAAGTTTTTGTTGTATTTACGAATGAAAAAAATTTCTATTTATAGTCTCACAGACAAAATTGCTGAACTTGCTAGAAGCTACAAATCTCATAATACGCTATATTGTGAAACGATTTGAGAGCCCTAATGCACCGATTATATTACTGAAAGCATTGAAATCACTTTGTGATGTGGATGCACCACTTGATAACTATCCAGCATATGCATGCTTAAAGAACATGAAGCATCCAGATAATTCTAAATCATCAAATGGCTCTGGATCTGATAAGGACAGTCCGAAATCAGAAACTGTCAAAAGATCAAGATCTGAACTGTCTATTGTGATCATGCAGCAACTTACACAGCCATTGACATCATCTGGAACTGTCCCGCTTACGAATTTCAGTGAAACGCAGTTTGACTTTACTGTAATATTACTTTATTCTATGGAAAAAAAACTGATGACTAATCGATTGCTTTTTATTTTACAGGAATTATTCAGAAAAGAAGTTATGGATTTGCTTAAATCCCTTAATGCTAATGATGTCCTCTTAAAATGGTGCATTAATTGTATTCCAATTATTTCGACCAATTATTCCCTAAAATATGACACCGAACTTGTCTTACAACAAAAGTCACTCCATTTGCCACAGACAAATAGTGATGCTCAAAGTATTAAACAGTGTCTCAAGCAAATTGATATAGACACAAATAACATTTTGCATGTCCTTCAATTACCGATTATGGACCCATTGACTAAAGTCAGAATTCAACAATTATCCCAACTATCTATCTCTGCATTGTATTGCTGTATTGTTACAACTGTTGCTCATAGTATTGGCATGATCTCAAGTAGCACAGCTAGTACACAAACATCAGCTCCAAAAAGCACATCTACTTCTACTCAACAGAACATAACAAGCTCAACAGCAAACAACAAAGAAGTTCAATCCACAACTCCTGAAATTGATCCATATGAAGAAGTTTCCCGTAGTGTTGTCACACAGTCATTGGAGATTTTCAAGAGCGTCAGTGAAATTTTAAAGAGACATGCACAGAACAATGTTTATCAAAATCATTTATGTATGGGAGGATGGATCTTGCTTGCTGGAATTCAAGGAGCTATGAGTGCATCAAGTGGAACGCAAAAGTCCTCTTCACAACTTCAAACTGGATCAGATGAGTTTGTTAAAAGCAAGAGTCCATCAAGACATGCTGATCAAAATGTTCCACAACCAAGAGTTAATCTTTTCAAAGTTCAACAAGGCTTTGGAATCTTGAATGTGTCGATTGCTAAGTACAGTATTAAAATATTAGAGGAACTTCTTGATGAACTAAAGATGGAAAGTGGAGATGGCATTGATTTGAAGTTTAGTGATGATATTTTGATCGTTCAACAGCAACAACTCTCGCCTGAGTTGATTAATTTCAATATTATGAAGCTATATTCATCAATGGACAGGATTATCTGTGCTTTTAGTGGAACGACAATTCAACAACTCATGACTTTCCTAGCAACAATCGCTTATCGTAAAGCTTGCTCATTAAAACATTTAACAGAATTTGGTGGAGAGCAATTAAGCTACAGTGACTCAACAACATATTTTAATGACACATTATCATGCTCAGAGGATGATTCAGATACAGAAGATGAGGGAGAAGGTGAAGATTCCGACGAAGAAAGTAGTGATGGATATTTAGGATCATGGTTGAAGGAAGCATTGTCACCTGAAGGCAATGATGTTGAAAATGACAAAAATGATAAGAACGATGAAAATCAAAAGACAAACTCGCAATTTCCAGCAAAGGATGAACCACATGAATACCTTGAATTGGCATCGCAAATCTTTCAGTTCCTTGATGCAAAACTTGGTGATGCTGAGAATAAATTTTTAATTAAATATGTTCGTCATGGATTAAGTGAACAGCAAATGGTTCTGTTGGCAAACATCCTTAAAGATCTAGATTCTGATGTTCAAATTGGAATTCACAATAGTCCAATGATTATTACATCCAGTAATGTATCCACAAACGATGCTACAAATGCCGCAATTCAATGGAAATCATCAATGGTCAAATTTTCCAGTTCCATCGGAAAATACATGCACAATTTGATATCTAATTCATTATTAAGTGAATCATTGCAGTCATTGCTTTTGCAAAATCTTGGAGTCAGTCCATGGGCTAATGACACAAACAATTGGCCATTAGAAGTCTATTCAAGGATCTTGGCAGTTGTCGTTCAAATACTTTTATTGAAACCGAGCCAAGAAAAAGAGGCTGCATGTTTGTCAGTATGGCATCGATTAGTGAATACATTAGTCGAAGGAGTTTGTGGAAATGTCGTCAGTCAATTTGATGAATATGATGACTTGAATATTGAGCATGCTCAACTTCTCTTATTCTTGTTCCATTCGCTTAATTTGATGCAAAAGAAATCAATATTGCTTCTTGTTGCCGGCGGTGTCATTCGATGCGCTGAAGTTTGTAGAGTCACTGGACCAGAAAAGCCACTTCGTGATGTTCAATTGATTTTATTGTCAAGATTATTGCTCTTCTTGGAGTATTTGATGAAGCATCTTTATAATCCACCAGAAATTCTATTGGAACAAGTAAGCTGGAATTTATTCAGCGTATTCTCAACTGATTCGGACGAGAAGAATGCAGGATTGATGAACTATAAATTAAAAATGGCAATGTTCTATAGAAAGGACATTGAAGAAAAGTACAGAAAGTTGTCAACAGTTCATGATGGAATTACAATTAAACCGAAACTGTATTCATTGACTGCAATTGATCCATCGAAGCAAAATGAATTCAAACTTGATGGTTTAGCATGGAACTTTATTTTATGTACCCCAGATAAAGTCAAATATCCATTGCTTATCGATTCACTTGTCAGCATTCTAAATATCACTGATATGAGCACTGGAAAGATCCCACATCATTCTCAATTCTCAATCTACTACTGTCATAGCCTTGCATGGAAATTGCTTTTAGGCTTACCACCATCAACTTCACATGTTGAGAATCTCATCAGTTTAGATGATAAGCAAGTTAATCTTCACACACTTATATGGTCAACAAGATGCTTAAAACCAGTCGCAAGTGGAGTTCATTCTCATAACTTGATCGTTGACTGCTTGATTCGTCAAGGAATGTATACACAAGCTGCTGAAACAATGTGGAGTAACTTGACTGAGAAATTGAATGATTATAATCATGTCTTGACAGCTGCAAAGTTAGGATTGGAATCATTCTTGCAGACCTTCCAAATACGTAAGTTTTAAAATTGCTTATCCTTGATATTCAAAATTCAATAATCAATTTCTATTTCACAGAGACACCAAGACTCTCAAAAGTCATCATGCTAGATAGCTTACTGTCACATCTTTATTACTATCAAACATTAGCTGCTAATGGAGAAGCTAAAAGTGATGATCAAACTGTATCAAGTCGACCACCAAGTGTTGACGAATCTATGGGTAAAAGTCTACTTGAGAAACTGATTCAGACATTAGAGCTTGTTATGGGAGTATTCAACAAAGCTATGGCTACGAATTTTAGTGGTCAAATTCCTCAAAAAATTATGGACGCAATTATTGCAATTTCTGGAACTAGAAATAATTTGTCTGGAGATTTAGCTGAGAACTTGATGAGAAGCATTCAGTCATCAGATAAGGAAGTGCTGAATATTGAATGGAAACGACCGATGTGTCTTGGTGACACAAATATCCAACAACCAGAACAAATTACTCTGAATATTGTCGAAGCTCATTTAGTAGAAGTTTATCGTCATCAGAACTTTTCAGTTCTACTTTCACTTAAAAGTGTCATTCGCAGTCTTATGAATTGGATTTACTACATGCTGCCACACTACGATAACAGCAAACCTGATTCAAGACTGCAGAATCTGTTGGTTCAAATGCAGTTTGATGCTCGCACAGATTTCATCTACGATTCAATAACTAAATGCCTAGAATCTTTGATTGGAAGTGACTCAAGCTCTGAAAATTTCCAACTTCCAGCTTACATGCATTTGATTCAGCAAACATATACAATTTTGATTGAATATTGTGAATCGAGCATGATTGGATCAACAAAGTCAATGAATATTGATGAATCAGCATTGCATGACATCATTCGATATTATGAAAGCTTAACTGAAAAGCCAAATGGATTGAAAGCATTGAAAGAATTCTTTTTTGAACGTAAATTTGGAAATCTTGTCAATATTTTGTTGTCATTCAGTGGAACCAATTTAACTCAACAATACAGCCACAAAGTCTTAAAGTTCTTTGAAAAGCTCTTCCAAGTATCCGAGAATATGGATTCATCATACTCAATTGACGAAGTATGTGTCTCATTAGCTGATTTAGGAACAGTTGATTCAGGAAAATTAAGGAACTGGTTAAGTCACATCTTGCTTGGACCTAAAGGATTATCAATTGATGGTGGAAGTGCTACTTCAAGCAATTTCCCAACACCAACAAATCTTGGAACACAGTCATCGGCACCTCCATCCTTGCCAATTGATAAGAAATCTGGACCAGAAACAGCTGAAGCAATGGAAGTAGATGAAGAGTGCAGTAAAGTCGGATTACCATCAATTGCTAACTGGACAACAATTGCTCATTCGTCATCAAACGATCAAGCTGTTGGTGGAGCACCAGAGAGTGTCGAAAATAATGGAAAACTTTTACAGATCTTGACTAAATATATTGTTGCTGAAAATCGTGTGTCAACAAATGTATCACAAGCGCTATTTCAAGCCATGCTACAACTTGGCAATAATTTACTAACAAGTCCTACAGTCACTGATGCAGTTTTGAGTGATTTTACATCACTCTTCCAAGTTATGGTTACATTAGCTGATGCTGATCAAGGACGTGGACATTCAGCATTATTTGCATCATCAATTGAATGGCTGGAAGTTTGCAAGAATCGTGCTCTTGAAAAATATAATAAGAATCAATCAATTGTATTTACGACTGGAACAAACACCGCTAAGATTCAGCTCGATAATATCACAGCATTATTGAAATATTTTAGTGACTTGCTGATTGGAATTAATGGACAACAAAGACCATTATCAAGTGTTTGGGATGATGATGTAACATTTGATATTGAAGAGATCATAGCCAATGATCGTGATGGAGAGAATGAAGAACTTGAAACGACAGTAGAAGATTCTGATGAGGATACAAACAATAAATTGTGTACCTACACAATTACTCAAAAAGACTTTATGAATCAACATTGGTATTGGTGCTACACCTGTAAAATGGTTGATGACAAAGGATGCTGTTCAATCTGTGCTCGTGTCTGTCACAAAAATCATGATGTGTGCTATGCCAAATTTGGTAATTTCTATTGCGATTGTGGTGCAAAGGAAGATGGATCATGCAGAGCAATGAGCTTACTTGATAACAATGCTTCAACCATTCCATCATCAACAACTTTAGATCATGGTGAGATCCTTATTAGCTCATTAAAACGTCAAACATCTTCAAGTGCAGTTCAACCATGCAGTGACATTCTCAGCTTGATAAGCAACAAACCATCATTAGCCAAAATGATTGATGCGTCAAAGGATCAACTTAGTAGCGCAGAAATGTGGAGAAATGTCTTAAAATGTTTGTTGAACTTCTGTAATAATTTACTTCCAATCATCAGAGACAACTGTGCTAAGTTTTCAACAGTTGGATGCCATTCAAGAGCTAAGAATTCTTTGGAACGTTTACATCTTCCAGAAAAGGCATTCACATACAGTGAACAAGTCATGATAGCAACATTAGGGTCACAAGAAGGTGCTTTTGAAAATGTTCGAATGAATTATTCAGGAGATCAAGGACAAACGATTAGACAACTTTTATCATCAAACTTGATTAGACGTGTAGCTCTTTGTGCTTTGTCTTCACCTCAAGGAAAGCGTCAGCACTTGGCTGTGTCACATGAAAAAGGAAAAGTCACAATTTTACAATTGTCAGCTTTGTTAAAGCAAGCTGATGCTGCTAAGAAGAAATTGACTCTAACAAGATTATCATCAGTTCCAATTACCTGTAGTGTATTATCACTTGCTGCAAATCCAGCAAATGAAGATCTTCTTGCCGTCTGTGGTTTGAGAGAATGTCATGTCTTAACATTCACAGCAAATGGAACAGTCAGTGATCATATAGTATTGACCTTACAACTCGACAATGGAAACTATTTAAGACGTGCAATTTGGTTGCCTGGATCTCAAACTAAATTGGCACTTGTTACTGCTGAATATGTAAAAATCTATGACTTAGCTGAAGACAGCATTTCACCACTCTACAACTTTGTAGTTCCATCTGGTGATATTCGAGATGTGTGCTTTGTTCTTCAAGAAGAAACTTACTTCTTGCTCATCATGTCATCTCTTGGATATATTTACACTCAACCATTAAGTGATGAAAGTTTAGCTGCACATGGAGCTTTCTATGTCACCAATACATTAGAACTTGATCATTCATACATTAGAGACGTCAATGGACAAATTCTAGGCGGAGGTGTATCCATCTATTATTCTCACACGTTGCAAGTCCTTTTCTTCAGCTACGCTGCTGGCAAGAGCTTCATGGCACCACTGGTCGATGTTAATGAAGGTGTTAAGTGTGTTGTAAACTTAATGCACTCGTCTAAAGTGTTCTCAAAAGGAAGTTCAAATGGATCGCAATCACCATTATGTCAATGGATGGAAATTCTCGGACATCCAGGTTTGATTTGTGCAATGCAGCAATCTACTAATAATCCAGTAATCTTTATGTTGAAACCTGAAGGATATTTAGTTCAAGAGATTAAAGCTCAAAACTCAAAAGCTAAGATTATGGATATGGTTGCAATTCGTCATCAAGTGAGTGGAACTGAAAAGACAACATTGATTTTATTGTGTGAAGATGGAAGTTTAAGAATTTATGCAGCAAATCCAGAAGTTACAAATTATTGGCTATCATCAGAAATTCAACCAATTGGAAATTATTACAATTCTGGAATAATTGTCAAAGAAAGAGTTGGAAGTAAGAAGAAGGCAAAGAAGAGTTCCAGCAAGCAATTACCAAAAATGCAGCAACAAATGAGTGGAACCAATCCAATCTTTCCTGTTGACTTCTTTGAACATTGTACACCATTGCATGATGTCGAATTTGGAGGCAATGACCTACTTGAAATTTACAATACACAGCAATTGCAGCATCGATTGAATTCCACTGGATTCTATGTTGCATCTACAAGATTTAATGGATTTACCTTAGAAGTAAATAACAAAGACACGAATGTGGTTATAACTGGAATTAGATTCTTAATTGGTTCACAAGATATTGCACGTGCTCCAACAGCTGTAACTATTTTGGGAAGGAAGATTCCAACAATTTGCCTTCGTGCACGTTGGTTTGCAATTCCATTAACACGTGAAGAAAGCTTGCAGTCAGACAAAAAATTGAACATTCATTTCTCACCATCTCAAGATCCAGAATTTGTGACAATGCTTGATTCGATTAAAATCTATGGAAAGACTAAGGAAAACTTTGGATTTCCTGATGAAATCTTCGATGATTCTGGTGCCGTTTCTTCTAGTTCAGTTCAAATTCAACAAGTCAGTGATTCTGATAGTCAAACTTGTAGTGTAACTCCATTGGATAAAATGGTAACCAGCATGTTGGATGTTGTAGACAGTGGATTTTATTTCCTTGGAGGATCGTCAGTTGATTCTATTTTAAAACAATCAGCAATTGATGTGACTACTTCCTTATTGCTTCTTCCAACTCCTGGTGTTGTTCAGCAATTATCGAGATCAGTTTTGGCAACATTACATCCTACAAAGTCTCAATACCATCAATATAAGGATCGCGAAATTCTCAATGAGATTTCCAAGGAACTGCAATTTATGCTCGGAGTCACCAACTTTAAGAATATTGATCCAGAAGGTTTCTATCGTTTAGTCTTGATGGTTAGAAATATTGCCATTCAGAGACCACAACAATTGACGAAGATATGCCAAGAAAATCAATACCCAATTGTGACATCATTAATGACTTTGACAAAAGAACTACACCGAATTTCAAGCAATTACGATGAATCTATTATCCACTATGGATTGACTCATAAGGAAGCTACAATCCAGTCGCTCATTGAAATCTTCTATGCTTTTATCTACACTGACAGTGCAATGATTGATCAAATGATTAAATTCATTGTTGAATTGCTACTTGATAAAGATCCACAAGTCAGCCACAGTGCTAAATATGCAATCATTCGATTGTTACGTCCAAAATGTAAGCGACAACGTAAAGTTCTTATTGAATCTACTACACCACCAAGCTGTCAAACTCCAACACCACAATCAGCACCAATTATTGTTCCTCCACAAGAGGATGTATCTGCAAATATCCAAGATGTTGATTTGATTGAACCTTTAGGTTTGGTTGCTGGTGGAGGAGCTGTTGAAAATCGTGACTTAGTCGAACCATCATTAGAAGCATTATTAGGAATGGCTGGAAATGTACCAGCATTAGGTGGACGTGATGGGGAGGCTCTAATGGAATTTGCATTGGAATTATACTTGCATGAATATGATGGAGATATTCAGGCCTTCCAAGGCCTAGCAAATCGTCTTCGTGGAAATCAAGCATTCCAAGCTGTTGCTCAAGCTGCTGGAATCGATATAGGTGCTGCAAATCAACCAAGAGTAAACAATTCAGCTGGTGGATCAGATGATGACGATGAAGCAATTTCAAATGCAGCTACAGACGGTTCTCGTGATGTCAATCAAATGCTTGCTACATCTCCAAGTGCTGAACAACTTATTGACAATACTGCTGATGGTGGAAATGGATCAGATGGAAGTAATGAATCTATGGGAGGTGCATCAGGAAGAAGTTCAACATATGACGAGCCAATGGTAACATCAAGTAACTCACCACCAAAAATGAATTCTAAACTTGAAGCTGTTAAGGACGAAGAAGATATTTGTGAACAAGAAAATTCAGCAAAACTTCATCAATTGAGAGTTGCAATTTTAGAGAAGATGATTGATAACTTTGCATCTATTGATGAAGTCAATGGACGTCAAGTTATTCCATTTATGCAAGTTATTTTGATGCTTACAACTGATCTTGATGGCTCACAAGAAGCTGAAAGAAATGTTATGACTAAATTATTGAGTGCATGTATTGAAAAATTGGAAATGTCTCAACCAGCACAACTATCGAGTCGATCATCAAAATCTGAAGTGAAATTGATCATTATCAGATACTTTGGAATCTTGATGGGTAAATTGAAGACGTCATCTTCTAAATCAAGCTCGGCTACATCATCTATAAGCATGGATAACATTCAATTTGTTGCATCATCAACTGCATCTTATTTGACAAGAAGTGGTGCAATCAACTATTGCCTGACTATATTGGAATCTTTCTTACCATACTGGAGACAAAACTCAGCATCAAGTGATTCAAATACATCTCAAAATCCAGCAAACGGTGCACATATTGTAACATCAGGTGGAATGCCAACAAATTCATTATTGAAACCGACACTTTATGGACCAGTCCCAGACATGCAACCATTCTTTGCTCGTCAATATATTAAAGGATTGACTGATATATTTGAATTATATCCACAAGTCTTGACAGAAATGGCAGTTCGATTGCCTTATCAAATTCTGAAATTGACAAATTCAAACTCAAATCAACAACAACACACATACGATTCTGCATTGACATTCACATTGTGTGAATATATGCTGCACATGCAATCACCATCGATTCGTCGACAAGTTCGTAAACTGTTGCTTTACATGTGTGGAAATAAGGAACGTTACAGAAAATTGAGAGATTTGCATTCATTGAATGAACACATGAAAGCTATAAGAGCTTCATTGAATAGCTCCGGATTGACTTATCAATCATTGGTATCATTGATGGATCACTTGAAAGCATGTTATGAAATTGCATCGGCACGAACTGGAAATTGGCAAAGATTCTGCCTCCTCAACACTGACATTCTCTCATCTCTGCTCAGTTTGAGTTGCCAGCAATTGGATCATGAACAAATCTCAACGATTATCTTACAATTATTGCAAGCAGCTGTTGTAAGTACGAACAGCACAACAACACCATCAATTCAAGAAGCAGCAACATCATCGACTGGAGCACAAGTGAAAACAAAAGAACGCAAAGATCGCGATAAAAGTGAAGAATTAGATAATTTGGGAACCGAAACGAAATTCGATCCAGCAAATTGTAATCTTCTCGTACAGCAAATATTCAATCAAGTTTCCATGCCCAATTTATCATTGTTCATTAAAACATTCTTGTTAGAGACGAACAGCATAAATATACGCTGGCTAGCACATGGATTGATCTATGCATTCTATGAGAATTGTAATGAAGCTAATAAGAGCAAATTATTGGAAGTTCTATTTGCATTATGGCCAATGATACCAGTCTATGGAAAGCGAACACCACAGTTTATTGACTTGATTGGATTCTTCACACTTAACACAAAATCTGTTGTACACTTGTTGCCCGAGAAAATTTCTAAAGCCGTGAAATTATTACGTGAACAAAATGAATTTGTTACTAAACATCCATCGGCATCTTTGTACACATCACTCGGACAGGTTCTTGATATGGATGGATTTTATTTGGAATCAGAACCTTGCTTGGTCTGCAATAGTGTCGATAAGTCATTCAATATCATCAAATTGACATCAATTAAAATGGATTCAAAGTTTACAACTAATTCCAACATCATCAAGCTTGTTAACTCTCATATTATCTCGAAGATCATCTTGAGAATCGGTGACTTGAAGAGAACCAAGATGGTTCGTACAATTAATGTCTATTACAACAGCAGAAATGTACAAGCTGTCGTTGAATTGAAAAATCGACCATCAATGTGGCATAAAGCAAAGTCAGTTACATTGCAATCTGGTCAAACTGATGTAAGTTTTTATTTTATATCCAAAATTATTTCAATAGCTAATTCATTTCCAATCAATAGGTCAAAATCGAACTCTCATTGCCGATTATCGCATCAAACATCATGTTCGAGTACGAAGATTTCTACGAAACTGTCACAAGTTTACCAGAAAGTTTACAATGTCCACGTTGCTCAGCAACCGTTCCAGCCAATCCCGGTGTATGCAATAACTGTGGCGAACACGTATTTCAATGCCATAAATGTCGTGCAATTCATTATGATGAGAAGGTAAGCATGAAAAATTCTTCACAAAATAGTTTGTGCCGTAAATAATGATTCATTTGTTTCCCACAGGACCCATTCATATGTCAATCATGCGGTTTCTGCAAGTATGCTAAATTTGATTATAGCATTTATGGACGTCCAACGTCTGCTGTCGATTCCGTTGAGTCTGATGAGGATCGTGCAAAGACTGTACAGACAATAAACAACCTGTTGGAGAAGGCAGACAAGAGTTATCGTGAAATATTGAATGTTCGTCAATCATTGGAATTATTAATTCCAAAAGTTGCTGACGGTGGAATGGCAGCAGAATTGATTGGCGGTGCAATTTCAAGTACAATGCACATCAATAAAATCGTTCAGCAGATGGAGAAGAAGTATTGCAGTGAAGGTAAAACTCATTTTGAGGATTTGACAAAAATCGTTCAGAAAATTCAAGCATGTCGTCGTGAACTTGTTGCTTACGATAAGTTACAATTAGATACAACACCTGTTACTCCCGTTGTCATGCCAACTGAATCATATGATATCACTCATAACAGATGTTATGGATGTGCACTTGCGTCTATCGAACAAATTCTTACTTTGTTACGTGGTATGGGATCTCAAATTCAATGTCGTATGCTGTTATGTAGTGAGGGTTTGATTGAAGAATTGGCGACAAATAATTTACGTCACGGAACTGATCAGAAGATCCAAGAAGAAGTTCGTAATTTGTTGTGTCTGTTGACAAGAGATTTACCGGAACCAACTGAGAGACTCTGTAATTTGTTAAAAGGAAGAGTTATTGCTGCACTTGAAGGAAGTGTCCCGTTGTCTAATTTAGATAATGCAGTTCGTAATGAGATGTCATTATTAGAAGCTATGGCAATGCAAGAAGACACATGCTGGCAAATGAAATTGAAACCAATCGTTGAACTGTTTAAGAAGGCAAGCAATGATCCAAGAGGACCTGTAACTCCAATAGTTCAGCCATGCTTGCGTGTCATTCAATTCATGTGCAATCCACCAGCACCAACAAGTAAGAAAAATAAAGGAAAATCAGCACTTGACTTGTGTACAGTCAAACCATCAGCAGGAATTTCTGTCAACACTCAGAGATGGCTTGATGATGATAAACAGCACTCTTATGAGGCATGGAAGGCACGTCAATCAACAAATGCTTCAGTTACAGCACAACCAGTCGATCCGAAATCAAAAGCTGACACATTCATGGCTGTAATGGATGAGAAACGTCAACAAACTCGTCGTCTATACTTGACTGAAAAATATGGTCATCGTTGGCTTTCAAACACAATTAAGAAACGTCTACAAGCTCCATTGAAATTAATACCAAACTATTTGCCGAGTATTCTATTCCATCCAACATCTCGACTTGTTCGCGTTAATGCATGCTCATTAGTAACGTCTTGGATGTCAACACACGACAGAAAAATCCGTATATTGAACTTATTAACAGGATTCTTAAAATATATTGGTGAGGCAGGCGAGGCAAGTGGTGAATTTATTGACTTGTTTAAACAAATAGCTCAAGAGGCACCATATCGTCAATATTTGGCTTTAAATCACGTCATCACGAAGATTTTAGACTTATTGAATAATGAGTTTGAAAAGATCTATCGATTGGAAGAATCTACAACGCTTTCAACCGATTTGGGACAAGGATATGCATTGAAACAATATGTTGACCTGATTTCGATGTTTTTGGAAAATCCTCAAATTATCAAGGCTTATAAAGGCGTTGTCTTGCAAAATATTATTCAAAGCTATTTGAATCTACGCAAGTTGGTCGTACAAAGAACAATGTACATCGATGAAGCTCAAAAGAGTTTAATGAACTTGTTGGAAGAATTGACAAGTGGAACTGAAGAAGAAACGGCTGCTTTTATGGCAATTTGTATTGATATTGTTCGTAAGACACCTCCTAATGATTTGAAGACACCACTTTTCATGTTCGAACGTTTATGCTCAACAATTCACTCTGAAGATTCAGATAATGACGAGTTCTTCTTAAATTTGGAGAAAGATCAGCTTCAGGAAGAGTTCATTCAAGGAAGGATGTTAGGAAATCCATATCCATCTACTGAACCAGGTTTAGGTCCATTGATGAGAGATGTTAAGAATAAAATCTGTTTTGACTGCGAGATCATGGCTATGTTGGAAGATGATAATGGAATGGAACTGCTTGTTCATAATAAAATCATCAGCTTGGATTTGCCAGTCAAAGAAGTTTATAAACGAGTATGGCTTGCTGGTGGTGGAGAACGTGACACAATGAGAATCGTCTATCGTATTCGTGGATTGTCTGGTGATGCAACTGAAGAATTTATTGAGAACCTAAAACCAACAAGTGCTCAGGAAGAAGACAACGAGCAAATTTATCGTATGGTCAACGTGATTGTTGATTGTGGTGGATTGAAAGTTATTTTGGACCGAATGAGCTATTTGCAGAATGTAAGCAAGTCTAAGCCGTTCTTACAAACTCTCTTAAAACTCTTCTTGATGTGCGTTAAGGTTAAGAAATGTCGTGAAGAACTCTGTCAACCAGAACTAAGAGCAATTTCAACACTGCTTAAAGTCCTTCATTTAAGTCTTCAGCATCAAGTTCAAGAAAATGATCCTCAAATGTCAACCGTCACTGAACAACTGCTTGAAATTATGGAAACAATTTTGGCTAAAGCTGCATCTGATTCCTTGGATTCGTTCCTACAATTCTCATTAACCTTTGGTGGACCTGAATATATTGAGGCTTTACTGTCATGCACCAATCATGCAAATGTTAGAAACAATCGATGCTTGATTAGAGTCGTTGCTGCTTTGGTTTATGGAAATGACATCAAAATGGCTTTGCTTTGTGATTACTTCAAGAACTGCTTTGACTTTGAGAAATTCGATGTTGAAAGAACACCTGAAGAAGAATTCCAATTAGAATTGTTCTGTATTCTCTGCTCAGCTATTGAAAAGAACTCGATTGGTGGAATCTTAAAGGATTATATTATGGGACTTGGAATTGTCGAAAAAGCTATAAGTTACATAGTCAAATATGCACCAACTAATCGTATTATTCTGCTTCCATTTGCTTCATCTTTGGATTCTGAAGAATTAAAAATTTTCATCTCAAAACCATCATTGAAGTACATCCTGCAATTCTTATCAGGCTTGGCAAATAAACATGAAAAGACTCAACTTGCAGTTGCTAAAGAATTAATTCCAATTGTCCATCAACTCGAGCAAGTTTCATCAGATGAACATGTTGGAAGTTTGGCTGAAAATCTTCTTGAAGCATTAAGTTCTGAACCAGCAACAGCAAAGACTGTTCAAGAATATCGTGATTCGACTAAAGCTGAGAAGAAACGATTAGCTATGGCTACACGTGAGAAACAACTTAATGCGATGGGAATGAGAACTAATGAAAAAGGACAAGTCACAGCAAAGGAACAAGTTTTACAAGAACTTGATAATGCAATGGCTGATTTAGTTAAACAAGAGACAGGCTTAACATGCTTCATCTGTCGCGAAGGATATGCATCTCAACCTAATCAAGTCATGGGCATTTATACATTCACAAAGCGTTGTCCACTTGAAGAGTTTGAACAGAAATCAAGAAAGACTATGGGATATGCTACAGTCAGTCATTTCAATGTCGTCCACACCAACTGTCATATGAGTGCTATAAGAATCTCACGTGGACGTGATGAATGGGAAAGTGCAAGTTTACAGAACACCAACACTAAATGTAATGGATTGTTGCCATTATGGGGACCAGAAGTCAGTGAGACTGCATTTAGTGCAAGCATGGCTCGTCAACACAGCTACTTGCAAGACAGCACACAACGAATTGAGATTACATTTGTCAGTGGAATTCAAGACTTGAAGTTATTACTGCTCAGATTTGCACACGAAAAGAGCTTCCATAGCGATGCTGGTGGTGGTAAGTTATTGATAAGCTTAATAGTGCTGTAGAATTTTTGATAATTTAAATATTTATTTCTATTCCTTCCAGGTGGCCCACAGTCAAACATGCACTTAGTTCCATACTTGATGTTCTTCTCGCTTTACATCTCCTTATCAACGCGCTTATATACACGTGAAGAAAAGACATTGACTGCATTTTTGAATCAACCCGTTGGAGAAAAGTGGCTGGAATCAGCATATGAAATCGATGGACCAACTTATCAGATTGCGTTGAGTATCGTTCTGCACACACCTGAATTGTGGATGAAGAATCGAATTAAGTATTTGAAGAGATTGATTGCAATTTATCATGTTCGTCATTTATATCCAACAACAACCTGCAAGGCATTGAATGGAATCGGTGATAAAGATCCAAAAGATTATTCTGCCTATAAAGGAGGATTAATGCTCTTCGCTTTGGTTGAATTGATCTACAAATACTTCTTCAATAAAGTCGTTATTCCAAAGGATGAAGACTGGCCCGTGTCATTATTCAATTATATTCGCAAGAATGATGAAGCTATGGTTAAATCAGCTGTAACTGTCTTGGAGAATTTCCGTGAAGAATATTTGCCGTGTACATCATTTGGAGAGTTCTGCGATGTTGCTGGTAAGTTGGATTTTGATTTTTTAAATTGTGGATGTGACTTAAAGATTTTTGATTAAGTTTTCAACATCCAGGAAGATCAAGTTACTCAAAATTATATCCTTAACTCTATTATTGAATGAATTACTAACATTTTTTCAATTATTTACAGGCTTATTTGAAGATATTGACGACCCAGATAAGTTCTTATCAGAACTTTTGCAATCTTTGCCAGGCGGAAACTAAATTTCTAATAATAATATTTTTTTGTGTGGTATAAATGCACTTTAATAATACTATTAATCTTTTAACTGGAATGAACTTTTGTAACAGACATATGGAAAATTATAAATGAATTGGAATTGTATTTGATAGCTGGAATATACTTATTAATAAAAATATATATCTAATCAATTAGCAAGAAAAATATTGACGAGTTTTCTTTTTATTGGTTCTTTGGAATTGAATTTAGTAGATTAGGTGTTAAGCTACACATATTTCATTTTTATGAATCTGAAATCTTTTATTATTTTAATTTTTTTTGAGAATTTAAATTTTGTTTTAAGTTTTTTGTAGTTTTTTGATTTTTCAAAATTTAATTTTTTAAAAAACTAAGTTCATAAATTTTCTAAAAGAATTTAATTTTAATTTTCAATAGAATTCCAAAAAATGACGAATTTTAGTCATTTAAAAATACAAATTATTCATCCTTTAAGCATTAATGTGTCATTAATGTATCACATCCAACAATTTTAATTGCTGACTAAGTCTCATCTGTATTAAGAGTTCAATTACAATTTCATTATTTGTTCCCTATTTATAAATTTCATTAAAAAATTCAAAATGGATATCCTAAAATTCTAATAAGATTTTCACCCCTATTCCTACTTTACATACACTTTATTGAATTAAAGAAAATTCAAAACAAATAATTCCAATAAGAATCTCACGAGAAAAGTCCACAACGTATTTGAAAATTTCAAATTCCCAGGGCTGCGCACAACCAATTCAGAGCTATGAACATCGATTTATTAAGCCGAGTCAGATTGAGAAAATATAAAATTGGTGAATCTTTGTCGTTCCGAAATAAAAATAATATTTAGTGGTTTCGAGGTCCCAAAAAATAAAAAAAATGATAAAATCCATTTCATAAGATGGTGAAAAGATGAAAATCATTGAAAAAATGAAGCAAAAAATGATAAAAGGTGCAAAAAAATCTAGTCAAAAATCTTGAGCCGAAAATAAAAAAAAAATATAAAGTTATTCAACACGAAAAAAGAAAATTTTATTAAGTGGAAGTGCATTGCAATTGAAAAAAATTAAAATAATAAAAAATAAATAAATCAAGCTAGGATTATGGATCGTCTTGATAATGAGGAGTTAAAGGAATGGTCGCAGAATCAGCCTTTAAGCATACTTCGATTGGATCCTATAGACCGAGCAATATTGAAAATTTCAGGTACATTATTGGGGATTTTTTTCTTATTCCACAATTTTCTGTTTCTCTTTTCCTTTCTTCACTTGCCGTCCGAAAATAAAAATTTATGAAGAATTCTCAGAGCAAATTATAGCGGAAATTCATTAATTATTACATTGTTGTAAAGTTCTTTGTGTTTCTTCCATTTCCATAACAAGTTCTTTCTTTCTTATTTTCTCTTCATCACGTCGGGGACTGTCTTATCCAACTCCATTGAGTTTAAAATAAAAAAAATCAATTTACATGCAATTGCAAATGAGATTCTTCAAAAAGAACTTCCAGTGGGTAACAACAAAAACATAGACCAAGACTCAAGTCAAGTCAATGAATGAATATGTGTGAGAGTGTAAAAAATGAGGGTGGAAAAGAAAAATCGATAAATGGAAACACAAAATTCGTCTTTCTAGTGCTGCGTTAAATAAATTTGTGTATATATTACATAGGAGGGATTCTCCGCAATGAATTCTTTGTGACATGAATCGCTGGATGTTATTTTGATCTTGAAAAAAAAATTTCCATGTCTACGGAAATTCATTATGTGTGGAACTAAAACAAAAGGAAAAGAAAAATATTTTTGTTGTTGGTCTGATGAGTCATGCAGATTCACGTGCCATCGACCGCTGTACATAAATAATTCCCTTCGTTTAATCTATTCAATTATTTCGCAATGTCTTGCCACGTAGCAGAGAATACACTTTACACTTCATGTGATTATTTAATTGTATTATGAATGAGTGTAAAATTAAAGTTACTACAAATGCGAAGATAAGGAAAGGAACTAAAACAAATTCATATTTCACAATTTCATACATAAAGACGTCTCATAACAAAACTTTTATTATATCATATTCTTTTTTTAATTAACATAGAATTGAATATACATATCTGGTTGATACAGCTGTTCTTCACACCTCGACTCATAATCATCATCATTTTTATAATGATTAAGCTAAATAGATAGTGGATGATATGGAAATTTTTTGCTAGTGTGAATGTGACGGAAAAAAAATTATTATGTGATGCACGGATGAGTGATTTGTAGTTTTTGCGGTCGTTTATGTCGGAATCAAGGTGTCTGGGTTCTTTGTTGTCTCGATTAGGTTCTCTTTATTGATATTTGTGGATTTAATTAATTTTCTGAATTTTATTATAATTTCGATTGATTAATACGAGGTTTTTGGGACAGGTTGTGAGATTATTGAGCAATTTAATAGTAAGTTGTGGAATTATTGTGACCATTTCGATTAATTGCTGTTCATTAGCGTAGAAAAATTTGATCTCCAAAATCTAGGATCAAGGACTTACGTTTGAGATAGTTTTTAATTGATTTTTGAATCGGTAATACCCAAGGTAGCCTTAATAACCTGCTCAGAATGAATAATCAGAGTTTGAAGTCGAGTAGAGTAAGATTCAACTTATTATTAAGGTTTACGCTATTTATGAACAACTTTAAAGATAATTTAGGAAAGAAACATGTGAAGCAAAGGCTTAGGGAAGATCCTTAAAGTTAACCAAGAGATCAGATCTGTTTAATCAATTTTATTCAAAACCAATCAGTATATGCTTCCAACTTGAGTGCAAGACTTTACTTCAAACAAAGTACAAAACTACTGAACCAATCTTTCTCGTAGATTATTTTACCAAATTTCAAACACAATCAACCGATTTAAATTTAATTAAATTACTTAAAAATAGACATTACCCAAATCGATGAATTTATAATTAAATTGAAAGTTCCTGAATTTTTTAATTTCCTAAAAAATCACACTTTATTGCATGATGTTCCACTTGATTACATGCTGAACAGTTAAAAATTAAAATGTTTATAACACGTAATTGAAAGATAAGAAGTTATCCAACTGTACACCTTTGATAATCTTTGTAACATGATTTTATATGACTTCTCTATCAGTTGATTTTTTTTTACTCTACTATCTTATACTTCTGACCCACAGACAGGGAAATAAAAATTGATATGTGTGCTGTGCATTTGTATATGTGCTCTACTTTAATAGCGAAAAAAAAGAAGAAGCGAATTGATGCGTATTTTTTTCACAATGTTTATTTTAAAGTCCATAGCGTGAATGTTAGAATGAGATTAAATCAAATTTGATGGACTGGATGCAGATGGGATTTATTGTAGTTGTGGATTATTTAAAAACTTTGTGGAATTTATTATTGACATTTAGGTGCTCTAAATTGAAACTTTTATGGCTGAAGCTAGGTTTAGGTCACTTATTGAATAAAGCAACTGAGAACCTGCAAAAGAATTCAAACATTTCAATAAATTTCGATTCTTTATCAATCCTCAAAATTCTCAAAACAAAATCCATTACCAAACCTAAATGCCGCAACATTTCGCGAACTTATAATACCGGAAATTTCTAATCCCATGACTATAAATCCGCACGAATAACTTTTTAACTAAATGAAATAAAAGCATTTCGAGTGAAAAAAAAAAATAAATTCATTTTTACGTAATCTAAACACGAGCTATTGATTAATGCTCTTAATTACAATTTTTCATGTGATTAGTCATGGCATAACCCCCCAATTAAAATACGAAAAAAAATTTGCATTCGCTGTCTAAATTGGATCATCTTCCTTTTAGTGCTTCATTTAAAAATGCAATAAACTAGTTAAATAAAGTTTTTTTGCTTACTTATTGCTGGGTGCCATAAAGCTTTATAGTCATGCCTTAAAGTTATCACACAAATGCCGACTGCCTAATGATAATGAAATTAAACTGAATTATTTCTAAAGGTCAATTGCTGACACATAAAGTATTAACTTAGCATAGAAGGTAGAACTTTTATTCCCCATCGGAACTAATGCGGGCTGTATATGAATCACTGGAAATGTCATATAAAATTGTTTCTATCTGTTGCTGATGTTTTGCGAATATAAAAAATTCTTTGGATTGGTCAGTTCTGAAATGATAATTAAATTTTATGCTTCATATACAGTCAACAAATTGTTTAATCTAATTTGAAACACATGTGAACTTGCTCTTGATGTTTTTAAATAGAATGCTCCAATTTTTATTCTGATTAGAATGAATTAGAAGGTTGAGTAATGATTAGTGGATTAGGAATTTGTTGTTTGCGTCAATTTTGAGAGCATTAGAGTCAATTGAATCACGATTTATTTATGATTCATGGTCTTTTGGATGAAAATTCATTAATTTTCCAATTGTTAATTCAAAAATCACTTAAGATCTTGTAGATTATTTCAAACCTTTCATCGATTCATTAATCAAAACCCAACAAAAGCAAAAAGTTAATATAGTCCAACCTAGTCATCATTATTACCTCCATTAAATCAATTCTCACATGCATCCCTGCCCTAAATAAAACGCCATTCAAATTTAATAATCATAAGCATTATTACATTCAATATCATTTACTATATGCACAATCATGACTTTTAAAATGTATTTTTACATCGCTTCTCTTCATTCAATTTAATATTAATCAGCATAATGTTCAATTTCATTCATTCAGTTCTTTGATCTACAAACACTTGAACTGATGCAATGCTGAAATCTCTGATTTTAATTGATTCAATCAATATTTATGATAAATTTTTTAAATAAAGCAAGACAAAAAACAACGAATAAGAAGAAATCCACACACAAAAGAGATCTTGATTGGCTTCTGTTAAATGATTCGCAAAGTAAATCTTCTGACTGGCAACATTCATTCAACTCGTTTTAACGACGTTTTTGGAGAGATGTGTGGTTTGTTGTGATCACTTTTGGTTGACTGATTTAATTGGAAATGAACTTTTGGTTAAAAGACTTAAAACTTGTATTCAAGAAGCGGGAGAATCTTGATTTGTTTAAATTCGTTAAAATTCTTAATTTAAATGTAATTTCTTCAAGCTTATCTCACCTTTGCTACTTGTTTTCAACCGATTAATGTCATTTTAATTGAAAATTTCAAAATTAAGG